TCTATATGGTAACCATCCTGCACATGCAATATTTGTAAACATTTTTGCACATAGTATAGGGTGTGTACTGATTACTTTGTTTGCAGTGCAAAAGACTTAGTTTCATGTAATTGCATTTCCTAAATTTTGGGTTTTTGTTAGGTTATACCCAAAACTTTCCACAGGTCCATGTCCTGAAGCATTTGGCCAATTTTTTCTCCTACTACTTTCTTAGTATGAAGCCTCATGCTTGAATATTCAATCTCTTTTATGGATCCATGCTGGGAAGGCCCAAAAGTCAGTGGTGGAAGCCAGAAAGTCCATGCCAGCAGGGTGAAGGAGCTGTGCTGGTGGGATGAGGGTTCTGTGCTGGAGCTGAGAAGTCACACTCACAATAAAGACCAGAGCTGTCCTGAAAGGCACCACAGACATCCTGAACAACATGGAAGTCCCAAGCTCCTATGATGACAAGCACAGTCAGGTACATGCCAGCAAGCCAGCGTGAGAGCTCATCCTGGAGACCAAGCAACACATGTTTTCCTCTCCAGAGTCAGGGAGCAGTGCTCGATGACTCTGTGAGGACCAAAGCTTCTCCAGGACAACCAATGGCTTAAACAGCAACTCGTAGGAGAACCCACAATGCTTCAACACAACAACGCATTAAAGCCTTAACACCTTAACTTTCTCCACCAATTTATGCTGGCAACTTTCCTCAGGTGGAGCATCATTGCTCAGTGACATGCTGATGTAATCAAGCTGGCGTTAAGTTGATCACTAGTTCTTAATCCATAACAGCATCTTTTCTGAGTTGTGAGTTCTTTCAGTGGCTAATTTCCTTATGATCAGTCTTTGATGAGGCCTGGCCGTAGCACTTTTGTAGAGCCCTCCAGATTACTCTAGAAAGGAGTGGGAATGGAGAACAGGTGATCAAAAAGTAGAGCAGGTACTTCAAACTATCTAAAGAGCCAAATGGGTTTTTTATGTCACACATAAATCCAGTTTATCATTCAAAACATGTACTTCCCAACAAGGACATGAGGTTTGATTGCAAAAATGCCAAGGTTTCTGTAGGGTATTCAGGGATGAGATTAAGTCTATGTTTTTTGTAAGATTTGGATAGGCAAGAAGTCTGAAGTTCTTCTCCAGAGTAAACTTCCTTTTCCCTCCTTTTCACTCCACCCAAGGGAGACAAGAAGGGCTATGCATTTCACTAAAGAACAGTCCAGATGCATAGAGACATCCTCTGTCAGAATTAATGCTTTTATTTCTGTAAGGTAGGGAAAGTAACCATATACAAAGCGTCACTCCCTAAATTGTGAAATGTAAGAAACTTGAAAAAGAGAAGCTTTCTATTGTCACTGCCTAAAAAAATTGATTAAAGCGAGCAACATAAAAAATTCTGCCCTAGGATATTAGTGAACAGTCTTCCAAAGCAGCGTGGCTAAAGACATTCTTTCTGAGCTAGTTTCTTCCTTCTCATTAAATGGTTTACATAAAATAGAACAAATTTTTCTCCCACTGGCATAACTCCTAAAGGAAAATGACGAAAATTTTTCTTTTCACTTATGCAGAAAAAAGACTTAAGAGCACATTCTGCCCTTTTGGCTCCCCATCTACAGTTCAAATTTGTAAGATAAACACATGATGTCCAAAATTATCCTAAGTCTAACATGAAAGTATTTGTAACCAAGAGAAAGCTAAAATGAGATATAAGGCAGAAATAGCTAATAGTCCCATAAGGACTGAGGTAGCTACATTTCTACTTTTCACTTTCTTTCTACTTTTGACTTTTGTTCTTAAGTAGACAGGTAGGATAAGGGACTTATCTTTAGTGGATGCTAAAGTTCAAGTGTAAGAAGTATCCCTCGATAACGTGATAAATATCTGTGATTCAGCATGAAACTTTGAACTCTGGTAATGCCTTAGCAGTCAGTGCTGTTGAAATAGCAGCAGATTTTGGTGTCAAAAGGGTAAAGGTTAATTTTCCTGGTCAAATCATGCAATTTTGTATTTCCTACTATTTGATATCAGTACATGTGTCAGATTCTATGAAAGAATGTGAATATAGTCAGCTCTCAATATCTCTGGATCCCACACTGTGGGTTCTACCACTCTGAGCAAAATTATTATTTTTTAAAAACTTTTATCTGTGCTGAACAAGTACAGATTGTTACATTCCCCAAATAAGATTTTAAATCAGTAAATCAAACAACTATTTACAGAGCATTTGCATTGCATTAGATTTTAGAAGTAATTTTTACATGACTTTACATATATAGAAGGCTGGATGTAAGTTGTAAAAAATTACATTTTCTACGAGGAATGTGAGAATCATATATTTGTGTACCTGTGTGGCATGGATCATGGTTCCCATAGGTTGCAGTATAGCCACTGTTTTGGGCTGTAGCCATCTGAAGGTTTGGCTCTAACATAGGGAAAATTACACACACTATTTAACTGAGTCTGGCTTTATTTCACTCGACATTATGATCCCCAGTCACATTCATATTCTAGCAAATAACATTGTTTCATTCTTCTTTATGCCTGCATGAGATTCCATTGTGCATATACATCACCTATTCTGTCTCCACTCGACTGATGAGAAGCATTTGGGCTGTTTTCACAATTGAGCTTAGTGAATTTTGCTGAAATAAGTATAGAAATGACAAGTATATCGGTATAGGATGCTGCTTTAACTCTTTTGGGAAATATTCCTGGGAGTGCTACAGCTGGCCAACAGTGAGTTTCATTGGTTCATTTTACCCTGGCTAGTATGGCTCTGCTTTATTCTGTTTTTCTGATTAGTTGCAGTGATTGGCATACTTTTCAGGAGAAAATTATGTCCTGCTAACACTGAAACAAGTAGTAACCTTCCTGATTCATTTCTTGATATACTTGTTGTTCAAAACTCATTTGTTGGCCAGGGATTTAGCTCAGTGATGTAAGCACCTGCCTGGCAAGAGTGAGGTCATGAGTTTGATCCTGGTACTCATAGACATCTGTTTACTTTCCATGTATTAGGGTAGTTTGTAAATTTTAAAATAGCTACAGATGTAGAAGTACACAATAGAGCTGTGAATACCAAGTGATAGGAAGAGAGGGATATTGATGATGGGTATAAATCTATAGTTAAATAATGAGTGACTTACAGAGTGTCCAATAGTTTTTAAAAATCTGTCACACAGTAAAAAGTTTAATAATAGTGTAGTGTCCTTCTAAAGTGTCCCCACATAAATGGAGAGGGCATGAAAAACCTACTGGAGGTGATGAATATGTTTGTTACCTTAAGTATGGTGAGGCAACTTGAATATATGTGTATATATCTACATTTATCAAATTGTATACACTTTTGTAAACTAGCTTTATCATGTTGGAAGAAATTTTAAAAGTAGAGTAGGAACTCAAATAGACATTCCTTCCAATAAGACATGTAAATGTGCAATAAACACAGAAAATACATTTAACAACATTCATTATTCACTAGAGAAAAGCAAATCAAAACCACAAGGTAAGACCTCATCCCTTCCCAAGAAAACAGGGATAAAGCCTGGTGAGGAAAAGAGCATTGTGACGAACCATGTGAAATAATTTGGAATTTCCTCAAAAAAGTTAAATATAGAATTGCATATGATTCTACAGTTCCACTCAAGTCATATAAATATCCAAGATATTTCAGAGCTTATGACCTTGGTGTTAAAGTTCAGTGGAGTAATGCTTGCCTAGGATTTGGAAGACCCTGGTTCAGTATCTAATATTTTAAACAACAGCACAGGTTGACACAAAAATATGTAAATGTTCAGAGCACTATTTTTTATGATGGCCAAAATGCATAAAGAACCCAAGGATCCAGTATCAGATAAATAGACAAACAATATCTGGCACGTTAATGCAATGCCAAATTATTTCACTACATAAAGGACTGCTGTAAACTGATACATGGAAAAATATGTAACTGTGTTAAAAGCATTCTAAGTAAAAGAAATTATATATAAACATCATGTTTATATTAATTTCATCATATAAATGTCAAGAATAGGCAAATTACTAAAGACAGAAAATAGAGTAATGTTCTCCAGAGGATGAAGAGAGTAAGAGAAACTTTTAACTCTTATAGGGTTTCTACTGGGGTGTGTAAAGCTTGTGGGAAAAGATGGCGATTGCTGATGTACAGTACTAATATTTTAAAAATTTAAGTAGTATATTTTATGCATGCAAATTTTACCTCAACAAATTGAAAGATATAGATGTGAACAGACAGAAATTATTCTCATTTTATTAGTGCTTATTAATTATAAAATTTAATGGCTTCATTGTGGCATTTCACAAAAGAAATAACATTCATGTGATCAAATGATGGGGAAAGCCACATGGGGAATATAAAGTATAGAAAGGCACCAAGAGTGTATTTTCCTGGGGTGTGGTCGCCCACACTTGTCGTCTCAGCACTCAGAAGGCTGAGTCAAGAGGATCATTGCAAGATGAAGACCAGCCTGGGCTACAAAGGAGCTCAAGTCACCCGGAACTGCATAGCAAGACTCCGTCTCAAAAAGACAATATATATATACTTTTGCAGAATGTAGCTTCAGTATGATAAATAAGTAAAGTAAAATGAGGGACTTTATAATAGAAAGTTAATAAATCTGCAGAAGAAGCATCTTGGAACAGGGAGCTTGAACCAGTGGGTAATTTGGGAAGAAAGGAAGGAACTGATAGCTGCTTACTGTGCGGCCACTTTAGCACAGCTTAAATTACAAGTAAACACAAAACTTCTCCCTCCTTCAGCACAGACAGTCTCCTGGGCTTCATTTGGATAAAGAACAAAATCCCACAGAAATGTGTTTTCTCATTTATCAGTTGAGATCTGTGCACACAAGTGTTGATTTGCTCATGTGTTCAAATGAGCACATGAACCCTTGTAACGAATTATTGTTTTATGATCCTGTGAGGTCCAGGGTCCATTCTCTTCTCCATAGCCCATTTGACTACAGATCTCACAAGCAAAACCTGGCTTGTGAGACAAGCTTCTCTCTGCCTCAGGTGGTACAGCATCCTCTCTGTGCTTATACAGGGGACACAAAGGCATCGGATTCCCCTGGAATTCCCTTGGAATAGCTGGAATTACCAGGGCAGGTGCATTGGACCTTAACCTGACTCGCCCAGAAATGGTGACTCCACTGATCAAGAAATGTGAGTTTTATTTTAGTTACTGCTGTTACTTGTGCCTATGTAAATGTATGTATGAGCCTAGGTTAATATCTTTCAGAAAGGTATTGTGTCAGAAAGAAATATGAGGCCCCAGAGCACGAAGTTGCAATTGGATGGACGATACTCAGGCCTGGCCATGTGGCTCTTGGTTTCTTTTCACCTTCTGGTTAAGTTCCCCCAAGGATCTCTCACTTCACTAATCACTCCCCCATTTGACATTGCTAGCTCTTCACCTCATCCTGCCTCCACGAGCCCGCTCTAACTTTCGGAGCCTGTGTTCCTCCATGTGTTTCTCGGCTTCCTGCCTTTGCTGGTCTTTGCCAAGTGTTTCCCACACATTTTGAATTTCTTTTCTCTACTCCATAATTCTGACTATCACGTTGATCATGATTCCAACCTTTCCATATGCCACCAGAAAGTTCCCTCTTTTCTTTCTTTCTTTCTTTCTTTCTTTCTTTCTTTCTTTCTTTCTTTCTTTCTTTCTTTCTTTCTTTCTTTCTTTCTTTCTTCCTTCCTTCCTTCCTTCCTTCCTTCCTTCCTTCCTTCCTTTCTTTCTTTCTTTCTTTCTTTCTTTCTTTCTTTCTTTCTTTCTTTTCTCTCTCTCTCTCTCTCTCTCTCTCTCTCTCTCTCTCTCTCTCTTTCTTTCTTTCTTTCTTTCTTTCTTTCATTGTTTGCTTATCTACTGCAGTACTGGAGGTTGTACCCAGTGCCTTGAGCATGCTAGATAAGCAGTGTAATACTGAGTTTTTACTTCAACCCTTTTGAAAATTTGAGACAGTGATCTCACTACATTGTGCTGGCTGGCCATGAACCTGGGATCCTTCTGCCTTAGCCTTCCAATCAGGTGAGATTAGGCTGTGCCACTGTGCCAGCTGAAACTCACTTGTTTAAAAATATAACCAATAACTGGCGCTTAAAAATGTGATACCTATACTCTAAATGTAGTGCAAAGTAATTGCACTTATGTGATACCTGTACTCCAATGTAGTGCAAGATTGAAAATCTACACTTATGCCTAATATACACAAACATAATAATGAAACAAATGTTTCTTTAAAAAGCATATTGCTGTGGATTTCTATGTGGCTATTAATATTCATAGAAAAAGCATTTCAATGTGCACTAACTGAAGGTTTAGAAACAGCAGACTGCAGCCTATAGTGATTATGCTTCTGGTTCATAGGAAATATTGAAATCATTAATGTGGCAAACAGAGAAATTTTCTGTTTCTATGTTTGGAGAAATATCCATTTAACTAAGTTCCCAAGATCACTTATGTCTAACCGAGAGCATTATAAAAAGGAGAGTTTTAATTCTGGCCATCAGAAGCATAGTATTAAATTTACACCCATGAGAAATGCATACAGTTTTTCTCTACATAGAGATGTGATTCTAACTCCGGACTCCTTGTAGTCTGCTGACTTCCTCTGCAGAGTAAATGTGCTGTCTATATTTGCCCTGATCTGAGTGAGGTGATGCCAAGGGATCATTGGCAATCCAAGAAGAGAGATCGTCCATGTGGTTACACATTGCAGAATTGCCTTTGTTTTCAAACCAAATTGTTGACTATTCCACATAGTATGTACCACTTTTTCTGTCACAGACATTTAGAGATTTTTCCACAAACTTAGCCAGAATGAACCATGCTGTAGTCCACTTGGGAGTTGATTCCACATCATTTATTCTGTTCCACTGATCCTCAGTCTGTTTTGGGGCCAGTATTGTGCAGTTTTTACCACTGTGACTTGCTAGTGTAATTCCACATCAGGGATTATGATGCCCTCTGCCTTGCCCCTGTTGCTCATAATTGATTTTGCTATTCTAGAAAGCTTCTGGTTCCATATGAAGTTTGGGGTTGTTTTCACCATTTCTGTGAGTTGTGCTTTACATAGTGCATGAATTCTGTATATCAGTTTTGAAAGTATGGCTATTTTCCCTATTTTTTTTTTCTACAACAGGGAATTCCTTCTCATCGTCTAACATTTTGCTAGACCTCCTTTTTCAGTGTACTGCAGTTTTCAATGGAAAGCTCCTCCACTTCCTTCACTATATTGATTACTAAATACTTCATTTTTCCTTGACACTCCTATGAAAGGTATTGTTTTCCTTCGTGAATTTGTTATTTGTATACAGAAATGCTACTGATTTTTAACATTGACTCTGCGTCTTATTTTAGCAATTTTGTAATTAATTTCTCTTGTCTAATTGCTTCTCGATAATATTTCAAGGATTATGGTTACAGTGCTGTTACCGATTACACAGTGGATGCCTTCAGTTTCTGTCCATTTAGTAAGAGTTTGATGCTGGCTTATCATCGATGACTCTCATTATAATGAGATAAAGACTTTCCATAGGATTTGTTATCATGAATGAATGTCGGACTTTGTCAAGTGCTTTTACTACCTGTATTGAAATGATAACATAGATTTTGTGCTTGGTTCTGTTGATGTGGTGAATTATACCTATTGATTTTTGTGTCCTGCATCCTTGAGAGGAATGCTACTTGATCTTGTTGTATAATTTTTTGATGAATTGTTTTACGCTGCTTCCTAGAGTCCTACTGAGGACTTTTGCATCTATGTTTACTAAGGAGATTAATAAAAAATGCTTTTGATTTAAGAAGAGATCATTGCTATTGAACTTTACCTTATCATTTGTAGTGTGATATTAGGAGAAACATTTTACTGATATATAAAGTTCCTCCTTTTGGAAAAAGGAGACTGGGTGTGAAACCAGAAGTACAAATCCTTGAGGTAAAAGTATAATTCGAATGGAGCTAAAGGACTAGCAGGTCCTCTAAAATGTTAAACAGTGTTAGAGAATTGTTATTGCATAGAAAAATAGTGAAATATAAACAACCATCAGAGCAAGTAAAGACACATCACAATTACTTTACTCCTTGGATATTTTCTTAATTATTTAAGACAGTGTTCCTTCAAACTAAATCATCTGAGTATACTGCTATATTACTTTCAGATGTAAGATCTATTATTTTAAATGTGTAGCAATTACATTAAATATATGTGCTTTGTAGAGTAGACTAATCACAAAAGAACAGAGTCAAGGTTAAAAAGACAATGAGTGTTTTTTCTTAACTGAGTATAGACATTAATCCAAGTATCTCAAGGAAAGAGAAACTGGGATGGGAAAAGGAGAAAAGAAAGATGCAAAATGAAAAATAAATAAATGTATACATATGTGAAACTGTTTAAGATAATTATACAATTAATTTCTGTTAGTACATTGAAAAGGAAGTTTGTGCTTATATTTTTTAAATTTTATTTTAAAGATGGTAAAATTAAACACAACAAAACAGAACATAAAAAAGCAACGCAAGAGACATAAATTTCAAAGTAGACAATCAAAAATCTTCACTATCATTCTGTCTCTTTTTCTTCCAAATAGTTGTCCATATCTTCAGATACAGTGAATTTATATAAAGAAACAGTATAAAATTGATGTGAGCAGTTTGTGTTTTCTGAAAATAAAATAGCTACTCTTGCTTTTCTCTGTGGTCTTTTGGCATGGAGAATAGTTTTCCATCCTTTGTTAGTCTATGAAGTTTTGGGGGGTTAAATGTGTTTCTTAATTGCATCATACTGTTGGATCTTTCATCTTTATCCATTCTGCTAGTCCATTTCTTTTGATTGGTGAGTTTAGAACATTTATGTTGATGGTTATAATTGGCATTTATTGGTTTTTCTTTTTCTTGTTTGTTCTTGTTGTTTGTTCCCTATCTTTCTCCTTTTTTTAAACCTCTTATCCTGCCTGGTGTCTCTTTCTCTTGGTGTCCATGTGTTAGTGGTCTTTGTTAACTCTTTCTAGTATGTCATTCAGAGCATTCTGTAAAGCTGGTATGATGGTCATAACTTTCTTTTAGCTGTCCTTTGTCATGGAGGTATCATATTTCTCCGCTGAGTGTGATAGTTTTGCAGGGTACATCAATCAGTGTTGAATGCTGTTTTGTTTTACGGATTGAAAATCCTTACTGCCATTTCTCCTTGATGTGAAAGTTTATGTTAAGAAGTGAAGACAAATAACGGAGCGAAAAAGAGGGAAACCATGAGCATAAATGATAGTTAAAAATAAGAGAAGGTTGTAAATGAATGAGAAATCAACACATATCGAGCAAAGTTCCAAGTACCAGGACACAAAGATGGAGTAAATTCTCCCGAATAAATCTTTGGCAAGATCTGCATTAGTCAATGTGCAAGACAAGCAAGACAGCACGTGGTGCTGTTGAATGCAAGAGGTCAAAGACCGCAAGTTATATACAGCTTCCTCACAGGAAGTGGCACACTCTTCCTACTCTATGAAGCCACACAGCACACAAATCACAGCTCACAGTACTTCATATTTATAATGATGGAGTGGCTCTTGCATTTTTACATAGGCTTCTACTCGTATGTGCCTCTTATTAATGGATAGCTTTAGAATCTTATCGTTATAAAGTGAATCTTAATTTTTATCACACCCAACCCACACATTGAGCATCTTGGCTGTATTTTTGAGGAAACTTAAATCAAAATATGAATTCACTACTAAGCTTCATGTATTCAAAATGGTGTTCAAAATAGAAGAAATGCTAATTTTAAATAATGCTGAGTCACAAAGAAAATGGAGAAAACAAAACAAAATATTTTATTACATAACATGATCATTTGTAGTAGTATTTAATCATGAAATGATTCTTCTGATACACCCATAGGAACCAGAAATATTAGCATATCTGTCTCACTCACACTCTGTTCCACAGACAGAACAATAATGTAAGAGATTCTCAATGGCACTTACACAAAAACAAATAACTAAAATGGCAAATTGATATCAGACTCACTTCACATAAAATTCTAAATGTGGAAACAGCAATTTCGAAAACGAGTGTGTCCTTCCTATAATCTGATATTGCTCTTCCAACTTGCTTAATAATTAATTTTCTAAGCACCATAAATTATAAATATGACCCATCTTGAAAAGAATTT